CTGCTCTGAAAGCACTCTGCCACTTGTTTGTTCAGCAGCAAGAATTGCCTATTTCCATTTTATTCTGTCCTTGAGATGCAATCTCCACATGGTCATTAAGTGCCTGAAAAAGGCAGATATTTATCATTAAGGTGAGAGCCCCAGGCTGGGGCAGCCCTGGCTGATGGGCAGCACCCACACTGCGCAAAGCATCAACAAATTCTGGGCTTCATTGTCACGGCCAGAGCAATCTCTGCCCACCACTGCTGTCACCTCCCTTCTCACTTTTAACCTTGGGGTACCTTGTAAAGAGCCTGCTCCTCGCAATGAGGGGTCCAAAGGCATTCAGCAGGGCTTTAATGGATCCAGAGGAAAACACAGATCTTTCATCAGCATCAGAACGCAAGGCAAAAAGGAAATAAATCAGGATTTTCTACTTGGCACTAGGACTCAGCACTGCCTTTGAGATGTGCAGACAGAGCAGTCTCCTCTCAACCCCACAGTTGTACAACTCCCTCCCAGCAGTGATTTCACTCTCTCATGTTATCCAGCACTAATTTGTGCTAATGGAATTCCCAACAGACAGCATAAAAATTAAGTCCTATTACAAAAATGCAGATTCAGGATCAGAGCAGGCAGCAGAACAGACCTAGAGGAGCCTACAAAAGTGCTGTGTGAATCACTGAGGGATGACAGAGCAGCTCTGGGCTTTTATCAGTGTCAGCTTCTGTCAGCAAGGGCTGGGGGAGAGCAGAGACCTCTGATAGCACTGGGGGGGTCAGGGAGCCTCAGGACACGACTCAGATCCCCAAAAGCCCCCAGCAAAAGAGTCAGATCTTCTGAGAAACACGTCAGGGGAGAAAACAAGTATCAAGGCTCTAGGAATAGTTGCATTTTCAGTTTTTGGTGGGTAAAAGGGTTTAAAAAACCTTTGCTGCAGACAACAAACCCAGAGAAAATAACTTCTGTAATGAGCACTTCATTGTAGGCCATTAATCTGTAAAGAAACCAATGGATTTGGAGAGGATGATACTCAATGCACAGATGGTGATGTAGTGTAAAATAATGGTTGACCTGGTTCTGGTGGAGTGACACAGAACCATGGAATGTCCTGAGCTGGAAGGGAGCCACAGGAACAAAAATCCAACCCCTGGCCCTGCAGAGACACCCCCAAATCCCACCCTGGGCATCCCTGGGAGTGATTCCTGGAGCTCTGGCAGCCTGGGGCTGTGCCCATTCCCTGGGAACTTGGGCAGTGCCAGCACCTCTGGGGGAAGAACCCTTCCCTAAAATCCAACCCAAACCTCCCTGGCACAAGTTTCACTTGTTAAAGACAAGGATAACGTGTCTCACACAGGTTTGTACCTGTGTGAATACACAGGGGGCTTGTAGCAAATACAAAGCTAAAGGGAAAAACAAGATAAAGAAATTCAAGTTTATATATAGAAACGCTCCTCAGGAGCACTGCTGGGGAAATGATTCTGCTTCTGAGGGTGGGAAGGATTGAAAATGAGAGTGGTTTGGGTTGAAAGGGACCATAAACAATCCTGTTCCACCTGCAGGGAGCCACCTGAGGGGCTGGAGTTTCTGTTTCTGAGCAAAGCCAGCTCCTGCCCTGCTGCACAGAGATGTTCCCACCTCAGCCAGGGGACAGGAACCACAGACAGGGAGAGCTACCGAAAGCTGCAGTGAAGGCAGGAGCCAGGAGGATCAGGAGGGCTCAACAGGGGCTGTGCTTTCCATGGTGAAGGGGCTTAGAGGTGATTCTGGAGCTCTGCTCTGCCAGGGTGACACCACAGCACTGCCACTCCACCCTCCAACTGGAGCTGCAGCCCTGCCAGAGCCTGGCACAGGAGCTGCAGCTACACCAGAGCCTGGCACAGGAGCTGCAGCCCTGCCAGAGCCTGGCACAGGAGCTGCAGCCACACCAGAGCCTGGCACAGGAGCTGCAGCCCTGCCAGAGCCTGGCACAGGAGCTGCAGCCCTGCCAGAGCCTGGCACAGGAGCTGCAGCCCCTTTGGCACACCTGCAGCACACAGAGAGGGGCTCCTTTCCCCAGAGTCCTTCCCCAGCCCCTCTGGTGGCTCTGAGCATCCCCAGGTTGTCCCTTCTGGCCGCCCTGCCCTGTGCAGAGGCAGAAGCCAGGCTGTGGCTGAGCACAGGGAGCTGGGTGGTGGCAGGAGGGAGGTGAAGGAGGGACACACATCCTGCAGCTCCAGCCCATCCTCACCCCCCTGAGCCACAAAACTGCGGGAGAGAGCCCCAAAACCCCAGCAGCAGCACAGCCAGCCAAGCCAGCTGTGAAAAAGGCCATTTGGGGAGAGCAGAACATTCATAAATGCACTCCAGATCTTTCATTTATCTGTTAGGAGGCATTCAAGTGGTCTTTTGCTAACGACTTCAATATATATATTTCTTACAGATAGCAATTAACCTTCTGGTACAGATTAATCTTTTAAAAAAAATCAAAGATGAATTAATCTTTGAAATTCAAGTATTCAGTAGTTTCATTAATAATCTGAAATTGTCCTTTAGATTTCCCATAATTAGACCATTCCCCTAATTTATTAATCCCACAGACTGCAGAGCATGTTTCAAATCTTCATCTCCTGCCACAATGACATATTCAAACTCGCTTGAAGTGCTCATAATAAAAGTCACTTTGTGAAGAATTATTAACTCCGAGGATCAAGCAAAGTCTTTACATGCCAAAGCATATTTGAAAACTAAGCAGGGGAAGCACTTTCCACTGATCCTCAGATTTCCTAAGATCCCGGCTGATCAGAAACAAGTTTGGATAAAACACTGCCTCTAGGATAATTAGCTTGCTGCAGATTCGAGGCCAAAGCCAGGAAATGTGTGGGTACCTACGGACTAAACCCTCCTTTGTGCCAAGGGAAAGAGACTGTGAGAGGCCAGACAGTTCTCCAGGAGCTGACAGCCACCGCTCCCTGCTGGGGTGTCTCAGGTTTGGGCTGAATTCCCTCCAGCCTGGGCTGATCTCCTGGTGCCAGGGGCACACAGGGGCTCTGCTCCCCCTGCCCAGCTCTGCTGCTCAGGAGACATTTCCAGCCCTTTCCTGAAGCCTTCCAGGGCTGGTGATCCCCACCACGCCGGGCAGCCCCTGCCAGGGCTGGCCAACACCTCCTGCGAGGAGTTTCCATTAATATCCACCCTGACCCTCCCTGGGCCACCTGCAGGCTCTGTCCTCCCATCCCTGTGCCCTGGGCAGGGCCTGACCCCATCTGGGTGTTTTGGGGAGCGGTGGCACAGCTCCCCCCAAAAGCAGCACGAGTTTAACTCACTGAAATGAGCTCCCAGCCCCAGGTCAGGGCACAAGGTACCAGATCAGGACCTGCATCCATTAAACCTCCCAACAACAGGATCTTCTTGCGCTTCCCAGTGTTTGAAACCCCCAGGGAACTTGTTGACAGGTATTAAATCCTGTCAGAACTTCACCTGAGCTTTATCTGCGCGCCACAAGAAGCTGAGCACAGCCCTGAGCTGCAGCAGCAGCGCCGGGGATCGGATTATTCCCATCCCGGGGTGTGAGGAAGGAGTTTTGGCACTATCCCTGTTAGTGCCTTAATCTCCCAGGCATGACCCACATCCCCTGCACACCGAGCTGCTGGGAGCAGGGCTCTGCTCTGGCTTTAGGCTTTGCTCTTGCTGCAGGAGGCTGAGTTACGTGTCGACTGCATCAACAGCTCACGGAATAAATGTAATTCTGCACGAGGTCCATAAAATGGGATCCTGTTCTCCAGCCAGAGCCTGTCCTTCACACAGGGAACACATCTGGAGGATGAGTTTGCAACAGTGGATATTTGCAAATAAAGTCAATTTTCAATTCCAATGAGCGCTGGCATTTGTCACTTCCTGCTGTATTAAATCCAAACCCATTTGCTTTAATACCACATAAATATGCATTTGTAGGAACAGAGGAATTTATGCAAATGTGGGTTCCTTCTGTGACACCAACATAAAGAAACAATTCCAGCTCCCCCTCTCCTCTTCCCTTAAGCCCAGTGGCTTTCCCTGTTTGTTCCCTGGAAGATGCTGCCAGGAGGGATCCATCACCCTGGGACAGGTTGGGATCTGGCTGGGCCTGTCCTGCAGGCACAGCTGGTGCTGTGGGGCCAGCCCTGGGCACAGGGACCCCTGAGCTGCTCCAGGGCACCTCCTGCCCTGCCCTGGCTGGGATCCACGTGCTGCTCTGAGCTGGGGCTCTGCTGCTTTGGGGCATTTGGGGCAATGCCAGGCAGGTCCAGGGTGGGACACCTGTGGGGAACACAGCAGGGCTTGGCCCACGCTGCTGGGTTCTATCAGCAGAGCCTCCCACAGACAGCCTTTGCATTTATCACCAATTATAAATTCCGTCATCTGCTGCTTTTTCCTTCCCAGCACAGGAATCATCATCAAACACTTCAGTTTGCAAGCCCTTGCGAATCTGGATTGTAAATCAGCTTGCCAAGGCCTCACACCCAAGGTCTGGCACGTCTCATCCCACACCATGGGGCCTGCTGGCTCCACATCCCACACAGCAACCCCGGAGCCTTCAGGGGAAAGGTTCTGAACTCCCTGCCCTGAGCTGGGCACAGGAATTCCAGAGCAAACACCCCACATGGGGCTGGGGCCAGAGCTGAGCACCAGCGGTGCCACAGGCCAGAGACAGCTCAGCACAATTCCAGCCTGTGGAGACACAACAGCTCAGCCTTCCCAAATCTGCCTTCTCCCCATCTCCCAATCCGCCAGCACAAGGAAACCTCAGCCAGTGCAGCAGGAGGAGCTCAGTACAACCCAAGGATTTCTGTTTTCCCCAGACTGGAAACCACTGAGGGCTCCCACTCTCTGAAACTCCACGAGCAGTTTAGGAACCACAATATCCAGGAGCCATTGCAGAGCATTGCAAAGAACTGGAGCAGCTTTAGAATCAAATATCAGCTCTGGAAAAACACGATCACATTTGGTACAACACGACATTCATGACAGCGCTTTCTGGAGGGAGGACGGGCGTTGCCTACCTGCCTCTCTGGAAATTTGCATGAAGGACTCGACTCCTTTTTCTCCATAATTCCCTTCAGATGCCAAAGTGGATACATAATTCCATCCCAAAGCTTTCACAATGTCCACCATTGCTTGTGCTTGGAAGGAATCTGGAGGAACCACCCGTGAGAAGAAATCATAGCGCCTGTCATCGCTCAACTCTGGTGCAGTTGAGGCATAACTGATTTGTGGGATCTGTAGAAAAAAACAATTTCTGATAAATACACACATTCACATACTCATGGCACTTCTTGCAGCAGTAGCAGCAGCACCTGGCCTCATCTGGCTTTGCTGTATCCAGCTGCATTTCTCCACCACGTTCCTTTACAACGTACAAGCCAAAGGAACAATCCTTTCATTGGCTTCAAGTTACCCAAATAAAAACTGTGAATCGATTGAAGGCAACTCTGTATGTGCACATCCATCACTCCTTCCCTTCAGGCAATCAAATACAGCACAGAAACCGTTTGAATCACTCACTGCCCTTGGCTCGGTGTCCTGGTTTTACCAGGTTTGGGATCCTGGTAAAGTGAATTAACTCTACACCTGCCAGCACCGGCTGAAAGCCAGGGACACCCTCAGCCCTTGGAGGATGAAGGCTCCAGGCTTAAGGAGGTTTAGTTTTGATTCTTTCTGATGAAGAACAGTGTGAAGGTTGCTGAGCACAACACCTCAGTTCCACAGACACAGCCTGGACGTGATTCAGCTCTGTCCCAACACAGCAGCCACTGCTTTTCCTGCTCTCAGCAGAGTGTGGAGGAGCCTGGCAGTGCCTTTCGTAACAGAGAGACCAGAGCAGTGCTCAGGGCTGTTTTTCCCGTGGCAACAAAGGCCCCTGAGCATCTCCTGAGCTGACAGGACATCAATCCCCAGGCCCATTATGCAATCACTTGAGTTATGGTCTGGGACCGCTCCTTAAACGAAGGACCCTGCCATAACTCTCACTTGAGAGGCCACGAGGGGAGAGGAGAGATTTGCAATGCACACAAACACGATCCTGTTTAATGGGATAAAACTGCTCAGGGCTCTGAGCAAAGGGCAGCACTTGCTGCCTCACCACAAGCACCTCCTGCACTCTCACATTTGGTCTCTGCATAGCACTCCACAAGAATTTATCATTCTACAAGTATTTATCAGCTCTCCTGCCTCCTCAGAAAAATAACCATTGTGCTGCCCCAGGATCAGCAGCCTTGGCTCCAGAGAGAGCAGGGGAAGGAAGAGGAGAGCAGATTCCCCCAGAATTCACATTATACCTGCACAGGCACTTGCAACCCCCACAGCACAGGAGAAGCAGAGACCAGAAGCAGAAGTGCTGCTGGAGAGCCAGGAGAGCGAACAGAGAAATGAACTTTGCATGGAAAAATTATTTACTACCCCAAGAGCTGCCGTTCACCCTGAACAAACACAGAATCTCACGGACCCAGCAGAGCTCCAGAGCTGGAAGGGACCCCCAGGCCCTTCCAGACACCCCAACAATCCCACCTGAGCCTGAGCTCCCTCCCAGGCTCCCTCGCCCCAGCTGCTGGGGCACAGAACTGCTGGGCAGCCTGGCCAGCAAAAGCAGGGAAGCTGGGATTTGTCTGTCCTGCTGTCCTGCAGTGCCTGCTGCCCTTTGGGTGGGCACCCCTGTCACAGCACCACGGAGCACAGCTGGCACGGCCAGGGGCTGCTGCTTGCAACTAGCAGAAAAGCGAGGCTGGAAGATCAGCTTCTATCTGTGGCATCTCTTTGTATTCCAACTTGCCAACAATTGCTTTTTCAACTAAAAATCAAAAGGAGCACATTCTGCAGCTGGCTGCTTCAATCACTTGGAGTATAAAAAGCAGATATTAGGGGTTTTACCAGTGTTTCTAACAGGCTATCTAAAAGCAACATAAAGTTATATATATATGTATATGCCAAGTGGAATTTTTATCCTGTTTTGTTTAAACACAGGGAGGAGAGTCCTTCAGTGGCTGTGGCAGGGGCTGCAGGCAGCAGAGCCCCCCTGCCCAGCCTGTCAGAGCACGCTGCACACCCCTGCAAAAGGCACCTTGTCCTCTGCCCAGTTCCCCATGCACACCAGCAGCATCCCAGCGGCCAAACTGGGCACCAGCATCAGCTAAAATCCAACTGCAGCCCAGCAGGGAGCCCCGGGCAGGCACCCCCAGCTCTGCCAGCACAGAAATAACTCAGAAATAACAACAGATTGTGCAGCTCACAGAGCCCCTGGGCCAGGCTGGGCTGCTCCTGCCCAGGGTGTCCCTGTGCAGCGAGGGTGGGCAGGACAGAGAGAGCCAGAGAGTTTTAAATCAGATTGTTGAGGGGTTTTCGGTTATCCAGGTAAATAGTTTCTGTCTCTGCGCCGTTATATTTTTCTTTCATTTTGGTAAAATCTGTTTTTTGTCATCAATTCCAAACTGGAGTTGAAAGAAGCAAAATTTCTCTCCCATCACATTTTCCCCATTTTCTGTTCTGACACATGAAAAAGCTGCAGAGAATCACGGAGTGCTTTCCAAAGCTCCAGCAGCTTGGCAGGAGGGCTGTGATGAGCAAAGCCCAGGGGACCCCGCTGATCTCCTGGTCCTGCCCCGGCTGCCCTTGTCCAGC